AATTCCTTGATCACGCACCAAAAATCCACCCCTACGCACCCATCAAAAGCCTAGCGACGCTGCTGCCACCTACAGGTGGGATGACTCACCGTCATAGCGGCGACGTCTGCGCGCGCATTCTCGTAAGTGCTATCCAAGATGGCGTTAAGTCTTCCGATGTAGCAGACGCTTGCGTGGAAATTCTTTTGCGCCAGAAAACCCTGCAATCGTAGAAAAAACCCACCGTGTAGTAGACTGCCGCCGGCGCCGCGCTCGTAAAACTGTGAGCAGAACGCGCGAAGGCGTGGGCGCCCGTCAACGTGCGGCTGTGTTAGCGCGAGGGATAGTTTCCTAGCTTATTCCGCTAATATAGCAAACCTAATTTCAAATTAAAACGGCGTAACTTTACTCTGTAAGGGACAAAATCCCTAACCATATACATGTGAGAGAGAAGAGAACTTATGCACATAGTTAAGTTTGATTATTGAACACAGTTAAATTTAGATACGTTACGTCATCCCTTGCATAGACACACGCATGCGTACTGGACAGAACACAGCCCCCTTTCTCAGGCTTTCGCTTTCTGTCCCTCTCTTTCTTTTACGCTCTTACAGGGGTTATCTCTGTCTCTTTTTTTTCCAGTATGCTTTATCTCTATCACTTTCGCTAGCGCACTGTCTGTCGTCTTGCCCCTCTTGCTATCTGTCACGCTACACCCCCCTATCTTATCTATCTCTATGTTGCTCTTTCTGTTTCCCTCTCACTGTGTCTATTTTTCTCTCTCTCGCTCTCTTTCTCTCTCTCTTTCTCCTGTGAGTGTTTAATAAATTGACCGGTTTTTTTTTCTACTGCGGCATTCAAGTAGAATAGCATCAACGTATTTTATCGTGCGGCTATGTCTGGCGCTGATGGATCTATCTCTGGTTGTTTGTTTTGAGTATTTTCTGTTTTGACTAATACGACGTTTGCAGCTGCGGATGACGTCACGGAACCACGTAATGTCATTAGAGAACGCGGCGCCACGTTAGACATTTTAGCTCAGCGCGGAAAATAACGTCATTGCGCGTAAATTGAAATGCTTTAAGAAGAACTTGTCATGTTTTACGATGACATCGTCAAAAGCAACACCGAAACACCAATGACAGACTTACCAAATGGAATTTTTTAACGTACAATTTGTTAAGATAACAAGTTAAGATAATACATTATGTGACCTTTGCATGAAAATAGATATATACATGTTTATATTTATTTCTATGGACTTATCTAATAAAAACTATTAAAACAATATATTAACTTATATAAGATCCGACAGGTGGCGCGGTCAAAGATGTTTGCTATGATTGGAAACGCGCGATTTTTATTATGATTATGATTATGATTATAACTTGCAAGATGGTTA